AACGCCAGAAAGCCCCCCCCCCCCCCCTCCACAGCATAGTGGGATGTGTCCAACTCTCACTCACTCTACTGTATACATGGAGGACCAGTGTTGTCACCCTATGACAGGAAGTGTTTTAGGACTACAGGACACCTTGCCCTCTCCACAGCATAGTGGGATGTGTCCTAGGTTGACAACGCTCACTCACTGTACTGTATACATGGAGGACCAGTGTTGTCACCCTATGATAGGAAGTGTTTTAGGACTACAGGACACCTTGCCCTCTCCACAGCATAGCGGGATGTGTCCTAGGTTGACAACGCTCACTCACTGTACTGTATACATGGAGGACCAGTGTTGTCACCCTATGACAGGAAGTGTTTTAGGACTACAGGACACCTTGCCCTCTCCACAGCATAGTGGGATGTGTCCTAGGTTGACAACGCTCACTCACTGTACTGTATACATGGAGGACCAGTGTTGTCACCCTATGATAGGAAGTGTTTTAGGACTACAGAACACCTTTCGCTCTCCGCAGCATAGCGGGATGTGTCCTAGGTTGACAACGCTCACTCACTCTACTGTATACATGGAGGACCAGTGTTGTCACCCTATGATAGGAAGTGTTTTAGGACTACAGAACGCCTTTCCCTCTCCACAGCATAGTGGGATGTGTCCTAGGGTGACAACGCTCACTCACTGTACTGTATACATGGAGGACCAGTGTTGTAACCCTATGACAGGAAGTGTTTTAGGACTACAGGACACTTTCCCCCACTCCATTGTATTGAGGGATGTGTTTGGTAGTTCACAGGGGTGAAAGCAGGGCCGATAAAAGCAGCACAAGAAGCAGAATGACAAAGAGATGAGCTCATCAGTCTGCTGCTTATCTTTTCATCGTCCAATCACAGGCTAGGGGAGGGGCCAGATCTGTAAATATTCCTGAACGGCAGCAGAGAAAATCAGTTCTCCTGCCCTGTCAGACATGACTATGCTGAGTGGCAGAGCTGTGTTACTCTCAGGACTGTATAGTCAGCAATACAAATCCTTTGGCAGGTAGGGCAGCTCCAATATATGCACTTCCTACCGTGTTTCCCCAAAAATAAAACACGGTCTTATATTTTTTTTGGCTCAAAAAAAAAACACACTAGGTCTTATTTTCGGGGTAGGTCTTATTTAATTTATTTTTTTAATGTACAACAATCCACACTTATTCATGTACAAAAATATCGTGATCAGGGCAATCAGGGGTGCCGTACCTTTCCAAGAGCAATTTGCTAACCAATTGCTGGCCAGGATGAGCGAAGCGCACTTTCACTATCGATTCCTCACAGGCGGTATCACTCCGCCTGTGACGAGAGCCGGCTCTAAAGAGGAGGCATCGGCTTATGCGGCTCTGCTCCTTCGGTGCCGCCTCACTTCCTCTGGCTTCGTTGGCGCCGCTGATTCTCTCCTGCCTCTGCCGCGGCTCTTCAGGTACCCCCTTTATGCCACCACCGGCCCTGGGAATGGTCACAACTAGGTCTTATTTTCGGGGTAGGTCTTATATTTTAGCTATTCTCAAAAATAGTACTAGGTCTTATTTTCAGGGTGGGTCTTATTTTCGGGGAAACAGGGTATGTGTATGTAGCGGGTCTGTGCGCAGTCCAGCTAGAACAGTTCTGTCCGTGTGATGGTGTTTTTGCAGAGATGTCTCCTTCGAATCACCGATTATGCCGTTATTGCTTAAAACAAGATAAATAACTAGCAGAACGGAGCGGTAACGCTGTGCTGACACTGATCTATGTAAACGGGAAACCTCTGGAGGGAGAATCCTCCCCAAAAACCTCCATTAACAGAAAAAAACTCATCCGTCAGTGTCGTCCACGTGTCCCGTTTGATAAATCAGCCGACCACGCGGGATCTACGGTTTACAGAAATAATATATCGGACTCATTAAGGGGGGAAACTTTCGCTTGGCTACGGAGCGCCTGCGCATGAAGAGACCCCTTTTTAGCAGAACAGTTTTCACAATTTTAAAGGAGAACTATGGGGGGGGGGGGCTTTTCACTCACCTCATAGTTCTAGCCGACCTGTGACCTTATACTGAGCTCTGGGTGACGGGAGGAAGCTAGTTTGTGTCCTCCCGTTACCCTAAGGAGAACTATGGGGAAAAGCCCTGACCCCATAGTTCTCCTTTAACCACTTCCAGGCCGAAATACATACATATACAGGCGGAGGAACGCCGGTGTGGTTATGGAACGGGATAATGATTTGTAACAGGAAGTCAAATCACATTTGTGAGCGTTGTGCTTAGAAATATTCACATTAAAAGAGACACTTCAGACTATTGTAATTCTCCATTTATATTTTTACTTCGGTCTTTGTCTCATCTGTTGGAGAGATTTGCCGTCATTGACCCCAAAACCACAGAAAGCTACCCCAAAATGAGGGAAAACTACCCGCTGACTGTTGTCACCAAGGTAAGTGTCACCAATGAAGGTAAGTATTAGAAAGTCACTCACACTCCAACTTGGTTCTAAGTCAATATTTATTGACCTTGGTCGCGTCACATTGTACAGCGACGTTTCGGAAACTGTAAGGTCCCTTCTTCAGGCAAACGGGCTTCTGCGGTCACTTCGGCACCCACCCGATATTGGAGGGTTTAGTCCAGTCAGGAGTGCAATGGGACCCATTGAATATTGACTTATGAAGGTAGATCACACTTCATATCCCATCTGAATCTATCAACACAGGGGTTTCCTCTAACTTCCTGTCTTGCCACTGGGACAAGAAGGGAAAATCTTTAAGCCCTAACAAAAAATATTTGTTAAAAGGAGAACTATGGGGTCAGGGCTTTTCCCCATAGTTCTCTTTAGGGTAACGGGAGGACACAAAATAGCGTCCTCCCGTCACCCAAGGCTCAGTATATAGGGAGCTACAGCTCGCGGTATACTGAGACGCCGCAGCAGGGACGGATCCCAACGTTAGTGACAGCTGGCTCTGCCTATCTAGAGGCAGAGCCAGCTGTACCGGCCCCCGTCCGTTCCGCCAGCCAGTCATCGCTGGAGGATCGGACAGGGGATGGGGGAATCCTGTCCCTCCCCTGTCACGGCTCTCTGCCGGCACAGGATCGAGTATAGCCCAAAACCTATATTTTAAAACACAAAAAGAAGGGGGTCGTCTTATACGCCGAGTCGTCTTATACGCCGGCACATACGGTAATTCACGAGAGCCAATGACCTAATAAAATCAGATTGGACTTTCAAAACTGGACTTTCGATGCTGGGGCTTATAGAATTCACAAAGTTTCCTTCAGCTGACCCTATCCTAGTATCCCTACAGTAAGGCCAGAGCAGCTGCCACAAAAAGAAGGTAAGTGTATGGATGCCAAATCGGAGGGCTGCAGGCCACAGTGTGAGCCACCCATTGACATGGCCTCAGTAAACACTCCTCCTTCAGGTTTCTTTACTCGACTCCAAAACCCTAGCCGCTTGGTGGCACAATCTCTGCTGAAAGGAGCTATGAGACTCTTTCACCAAGAAAGGATGTGTGTTCAAAGTGTACTTAACACTTTTCCAACAAGTTACACACTTATCTTTAACGGATAACTCGTTGTGTCCAGTCACTTAATACCGCAATAATTGACTTTTCCATTAGACCGAAGAATTAAAATAAGCGAGTTGTCCACTTACCGATCCAACACTCCAAGCGGGCACATGGTGTGGTCTTGACCACATCTGGAGGGTCTACACCCACGTTGAGACACAAGACGAGAGCCACGCTGACCGTTTTCATCTGAAATTAGATTTACAAAAAACACAGGTATGAGCTAAATATACACCAAAGATTACAGACAGAGTCCTCGTCATTAAAGAGAACCAGTCACAATTAGGCTCATGCAAAAATGTGTACAGTCCATTATTCTATCAGTGTAAAAATGTTTAGTTTGCTCCCGTTATTTAGCTACTTTCATTGTGTGAAGAGGACTCTTGAGCTGAGACATCCACAGAGAGTTCCTGCCGATAACTTACACTGCCTCCTAGCTCCTAAGAGTGCTTAAAGTAGATTTAAACCCTGACTTGACAACATACAGCTGGCTCTGCACCTTGTGTATCAAACAAGTGGTAGTTTTGTTTTCACCGTTAGCCATCTCGGGGGGCGAGGGTTAGCCATCTCGAGGGGCGAGGGTTAGCCATCTCGGGGGGCGAGGGTTAGCCATCTCGGGGGGCGAGGGTTAGCCATCTCGGGGGGCAAGAGTTAGCCATCTCGGGGGGCAAGAGTTAGCCATCTCGGGGGGTGAGGGTGAGCCATCTCGGTGGGAGGGGTTAGGGATAGTCATCTCTGGGTGGGTTAGGGTCAGTCATCTCGAGGGGGTTATCTCGGGAGGGAGGGGGGTTAGGGTCAGTCATCTCAGGGTTAGGGTCAGTCAACTGAGTGCACTGATCTCCTCCAGCCTCTTTAAATCAACTTCCTGTCTAGATGCACTTGCTCCATTGTCACCTGCATATCATTGCTTTGTACCAGCTTCCTGATAGTGAAAAACGATGGACCGCACCTGCGCAATGTGCGTTGACATGGCCACTGGGTGCGAATGTGACAAGTCAACAACCCAGGAGCCCAACTGGGAGACCATTGTCACCACCTAACAGGAAGCGACTGAACAAGGTCCCAAATGGCAGGATCATCATGTAATACGATAAGGAAAGCTGCAGATTTGAAGACGGTGAAAACAACAACTTTTCGCGTTGCATTAATAAGGAAAAACTTACACGAGATTTCGGCGACCAGGTTCAGAGAATTTACAGTTTCAAGCAGAGCACTGCAACACAACACTGCCCCCATTGATGTGAATACAAAGTAGCTATTGCAAACAATGCAGTTTGATCTGCAAAGCAGTCCACCTTCCTATCGGCACCATGTTCTCTCGCCGCTTGCTTGGATCCCGACACGTCTGGATGATTTTCCTCTCAAACGTTTTTTCTCCTCGGAGCCGGATCCAGCCGTGGATTTTACACCGCATTAATTGTTAGCCGGCACACAAGGCTACAGAAAACAAATCTATTTTTGACCTCTTATCCGGCTTCCTTGAGCTCTGTGGTCTGAATTCTCGAAAATCCTTAGGCCCAGCAGTTATAAGAAATCTAAAGACAGCGTAAACAAAACGCCGCGTAGCAGATGCAGTAAGAAAGACTTCTCGGGGAGGCGCGGGCCCACGGAAGGAGAGGTCATGCTATGAAGTTGATTGGAAAACGTGAGGCGTAGCGCTTTCACGCAATTATTGGCGAGACCATGACGCTGGCTCGCGTGGACGCCAAGAAAAATACCTTAACCGAATTACAGAAGAGGAGCAGTTATGAGCGCATTGGCACATCGCACACGTTTTTACTTTTGCAGAACACAAGCGGCTTGCTGGAATGACGGGGCCCGCGCCACAGTGGTGCCATCTTCTCTTCAGCACATAGTGATTGGCCTAACAGCATGTAGCCACGTCTGTCCATCTTTAGATGCTATGACTGGCATACTGCTCAATGGTACACACTTATGTAGGGAGAGAGAGAGGGGACAGAGGAGGGCCAAGGGGAAGGACAGAGGAGGGCCAAGGGGAAGGACAGAGGAGGGCCAAGGGGAAGGACAGAGGAGGGCCAAGGGGAAGGACAGAGGAGGGCCAAGGGGAAGGACAGAGGAGGGCCAAGGGGAAGGACAGAGGAGGGCCAAGGGGAAGGACAGAGGAGGGCCAAGGGGAAGGACAGAGGAGGGCCAAGGGAGGACAGAGGAGGGGCGAAGAAAGGACAGAGGAGGGGCGAAGGAAGGACAGATGAGGGGCGAAGGAAGGACAGGAAGGGGCGAAGGAAGGACAGAGGAGGGGCGAAGGAAGGACAGAGGAGGGCGAAGGAAGGACAGAGGAGGAAAAGAAAAACATTTTGATATCTGTTTTACTGTAGGAAAGCTTCCCTCACTTCCTGTCTGGTAAGCAGAATGGAGCCCTGAATAGCAATAATAACCTGCAAAGGATTCTAACCTTTCTTCTCTTTAAATAAGGAAAGACCATAGTGTTCAATTGGGTTCATTATTTCACAAACTAATATATCATATTTCGAGGGGCATTGCGGGAGTATCCATCATCCATTGTACGAGAAGTCGAACATGGAGACGTGGGGAAAAAAAATGTGAACATGGACTTGAAAACAAGCCAGGGGACAACTGGGAAATACCCCCGATAATGGAAGCGGCAGACACAAGGTCTCACTACCTGCATATTATCAGGGGTAAAAATTCCAGAGAAAACTTGTTGG